GACTTAATACCCCCCCCCCCCGCTCCGTTTGCCCACCTGTTCTGTCCGTTCTTCCACCTGTATCTTATTTGTCCACCTGCCGCCAGGTTCGAATCCGTAACGTGCGCGTCCCGCAGATCGGCGACAAGTTCGCCTCGCGGCACGGGCAGAAGGGTACCATCGGGATGACCTACCGGCAAGAGGACATGCCCTGGTCGATCGACGGCATCGTTCCCGACATCATCGTTAACCCGCACGCCATCCCCAGCCGGATGACNATGACAGCTGCGTATGAATTTACTTTCTGGTGCTTTCACTTCCAGAGACAGTTGTAAGCACTGTGTGACTGCCTCGAGGGTGCTTGACCATTTTAACACAACGTGGTGCGATCATCCCCCTTGCGCGGAGCGGGTTAACACCGGGGGGGGCGGCTTGTTTTACAACGTCGTTGCCAAGCGACGAAAACCCAACCCCGATGGCAAACATCGGGGGGGGCTTGATTTTGGGGGGGGGGATTGCGTGTTTCCACTCTGTGGGGCCGTTCCCGGTATTTTTTGTTGTTGCAAATTTGCAAGTGTCGTTTACCATGGAATTGTTGCCGCCGGCGGTTACGCTTTTTTTTTTTGCGGTGTGCTGGCATTTCCACGCTGAGGGACAGATGAAGCGAATGGAAGTGCTTGTAGTAGTGTATATATATATATATATATATTTTTTTGCCTTCCGACAATTGCAGATGTACCTCAGAAAACTTTCACTTAATGTCTCATACTCTACTACAACAACATATGAAGGACTTATTTCTACTGTCACTTACATCGTAAAAATATCTCCTCTTCAATTTGAAATATAACCAATGACAATCCTCATGGTATCCTTTATGCTTTCGTAAGCTTGCTATAATACTACTGCGTTGATCAGCGGTGTCTCTCTGTGGTTGATGCTGCGTTCAACTGTTCTTGTTGCTGTTGGCTCTTCGGTTCTTTGGCTTGCACCCTCCTCCCACTTTCCCGTTTTCTCACGGGCGAGGTGACGTTTCTTGGCTGGGAAGTTGTTGGGTGTACGTGTGACTCTTTTTCAGGCTCTTTTTCAGGTGTGGCAATCGATGTGCAACCGTATCCCGCACCCGACCGCGTTTTCATCGTCAGGTGGTGATCACGATAGTCCTCGACTCAGTTGTGCTGCCGTTGACCCTGAGCCATTGTGCGATGGAAGCCTCCTTGGTTGTAATTATAATTATCCTGCGTTTTGACCTTCCACGTTTGTAAGTGTGTGTCTTGTGCGGTTGTTGTTTTGCCAGTTTTTTTTTTTTTTCTTCGCTTTTCTCAATTTTTTGTTCGTGTTTTATTTCTTTTCTGTGCGTTGATTGGTGGAAACAGGTGGGCGTGCTGACGGGAACGGAAGGCGACGCCACGCCTTTCACGGACGTGACCGTGGCGAACGTGAGCAGCACCCTGCACAAGATCGGCTTCCAGAAGCACGGCAACGAGGTCATGTACAGCGGCCACACTGGCCGCATGCTCAACACAAAGGTTTGTGTGTGTGTTTGTGGTCTGTGTGTCGAACGTATACATCGCGTGGCAACGGCAGCCTTTCTTTGTTTGCCAGGGTTAACTCCCTCCGTCCGCCCGTTGGGCCCCTTCCTGAGGCTTGTCCCTCCTCACGTGTACGCTATCACAAGCGTATGCTGTGACTAGCAACGAGCCCACGGTACCTATTAGCGTCAGGTGTGATGGCTGGGCAGATTGCGGCTGGGCTGGTTGGGGTGCGGTGCCTGCCGGAAAAGCAAAATCGAAACAAGACGAGTGCAGCAGCAGCAGCACCGCCGTTGTTCTCCCGACACCTCTTTCACCGCTCCCAAGTCCGTAAGCCGGTCGAATCGCGTATGGCACGGGACGGACGGTCTTGTTTACAGTCCTCGCCTCGTGCATCCGGCACCTTCTTAACTGTGCGCACATGTACCGAATACCGAGGCAGACGAATCTCAGGACGCCTCAAAAGTTGCTATTTGCCACTCGACGGTTGCTTCAGAACGAGCTCCGTTCCTGCCCGCGAGGCCCGAAGGTAGACCTTCACCTCCTCCTGGCAGATTGGGCGGCGGCCGACATGTCTCGCCGACGTCGTCTGAGTCGACGTTTGTCGATTCACGGGGAGGGGAGGGGGGTTCCCATCCCACGAGAAGGGCTCCGAACGGTTTCCCTGAGGGGTGGAGGGTTAAGAGTGTCGTAGTCGAGGTCGGCGCTGGCATCGCTGCCCGGCGCTGTATGATTCGTTTTTCTGGGCTTGAGGGTAAAATCCACCACGCACCCAAACAGACTAAAAAATGTCAACACTTATCGCGAGACAAGAGAGCGGTCACACCGTCGGTGACTATGAGACACTACGGTCGGTGACTATGAGACAGGGGTGGATCTCCAGGTTAACGCTTGTATGGCTCCAGTTCCTTCGGGGATGTGTGGTACATGTGGACACACCAGTTCAGCTTCTTGCGGGAGAGGATGAAGAGGAGAACCGAAGGGGTTGTGAGCAAAGGAGGGAGAAGCTGGGTAGCTATACTTGCACGCGGGCGGCTCAGCGTCCGCTGTCCACTGACTCTAACACCCCGAAGATAAATCTCCGACTAGTCGCTATCCACGACAGTCTGAAGCGACGTTCACGCAAATTAAGGAATAATCTCGCCGCCATTCCCTCCCCGCCCCAAAACACCCACCCACCCACCCACCCCCAAGGTATTCCTGGGGCCGACGTTCTACCAGCGCTTGAAGCACTTGGTGGACGACAAGATCCACAGCAGGAGCAGGGGGCCCGTGATGAACCTGACGCGGCAGCCGATGGAGGGTCGAGGGCGCGACGGAGGCTTGCGCATGGGGGAGATGGAGCGGGACTGCCTGATCAGCCATGGCTGCGCCAACTTCTTGAGAGACCGGCTGTTTATCAACTCGGACGCGTACCGGGTGCACGTGTGCGACAAGTGCGGCCTGATCGCCGTGGCGAACCTCCGGAAGATGAGCTTCGAGTGCCGGGGCTGCAAGGGCAAGTCGGACGTCTCGCAGGTGAGAGAGGGGAAGAGGACGACGAGCCTGTGTGTTTAATATATTTCGTGTTGCGAGGGGTTACACGAGCACACATTTCAGTCGTACGCGAGCTCAGATTTCATAACTTGGGTGGTTTTTTCACGCGCCAAGTTATCCAAGTTGTGGCTAACTGGCCTGCGTCGTACGTGCACACCTACGATCTTGGTTGGCGGGGGAGCTACTAGAGTAACTTTCCCGCGGAACCCCCCTCCTCCTCTGCAAGGATGATGACCAGCTCCTGGGTCATCCTTGAAATATGTAGCCTGGGCCGGCGAAAACCTAGCACATCGCTTCGTCCCGGCGTTGTAGAGATGCGAGGTCAATGATCTAACGACTACGGCATGCGTTTACGCCAGACCCCCCCCCCCCCCCCCCCCCCCC